AGTTGCCAGCGCGATGGACGTGATGACCCAGAGGCTGAAGAGTTTAGAGGGTTTGAGCAAGTCAATGCGACCAGATCTTCTACGCTGGATCGCGGGGGGCTGGCGACTTCGACGGAGGTGCAGATGCAGGCCAGGCGGCGAACCACGAAGCAAAGGTTCTGCAGAAGTCAACGAACCGATCGTGGGAAGAGAGAGCCAAAGGAAAAGACAAGGGAGAGAAAGGCAAATGGAAGGGAGGCAAAGGCGAGAACAAGCCCTTCGATCACGACAAGTCCAAGAAGGAGAAGGGGGATGGCAAGAAGAAGTCGTGAACTATGAGTTGGGGGAGCCCACGGGGAGGCCATGGGGTCGCCCTGGTAGAGGCTCCTGGAAACTATGAGGAGATTGGATGCACGGCCGTGACCAGCTCCAGCCGCGAGAGTGATGGGGCAGGTCAGGAATTCAATAGACTGGGTACGATGGCAACGCTGAACGAGGGTGAGCCGTTGTGCCTTACAGCAATCAATTTTCCCGAACAGGATGCCGAGTCGATGCAAGAGCAGGCCACAGCTGGCGAATGTCATGATTTGGGGAACTCTTCTATTGCTGCTATCTTCAAACGGGCAGTTGAGGTGTTGAGAAAGGATGGGCACCTTCATTCACGACGCTCCAACACGGAGCTCGACCATGGACCTCATTGTCCGCCGTTCCCTCTTCGGATTCGAACGGAGGGCTGGGGCTCGAGGTTGGGCTTCCCCCACCTGCCCAAGTTTGACGCGCTGGTGAGCGGCACGATGGCAGCCCTCAATCATTTGGCTGAATTTGAGGGCTCCCTGGAAGCGGCTCCAGACGAGGCGGCGCCATCGACTATGGCATCTGAGACGAGCGTTCGTTCGCTTGCAGAAAAAAGGCTAGCGGCTCTCATCGTTCGCAATCACATGTGGGAGGTTCCGGATTGTTCGTTGTCGTTTAGTGAGTTTTTCATGAGGCGCAAGGTCGATTATTGTGGGGAAGAAGTGAGACTGGCTCAGAGTGTAAGTTGGGCAGCCGTGAATGAATCGCTCCCGGAAGGGGTGGGGAATGGCACAACGTTTGCAATGGGCTGATTGAAAAGAAGGTGTGTGAAGTGTGGCCTATTTCCCAGCTCCACCATATAGGTGGAGCTCCTTTACTCAACGGAATGTTTGCTGTAGGCAAGGGCGAATTCAAGTCAGGCATCGAGACTCAGCGCCTGATCATGAATCTGGTACCGGTCAACCAGATATGTAAACCACTCCAAGGCGACGTGGGGACACTTCCTGCGGTCTCAGGCCTTAGTGGGTTTCTCCTGGGGTCGGGGGAAATCGCCCTCCTATCATCAGAAGATATCAAGTGTTTTTCTATCTGTTCGCAATTCCTACGTCATGGAGGAAGTACATGGGGTTCAACAAAGACCGTACCAAGTGACTTGATCCCGAACAAGTTCCAAGGCCAAGCTTGCGTGCTGGTTGCAAGGGTATTACCCATGGGATTCCTGAACTCGGTCAGCATCGCACAGCATATTCACCGGAACGTCGTTCGATTCAGGTAAGCCCCCGGTGGGAGCGGAGGGCGAGCTGCGCAAGGACCGGGCCATGAGCTCAGCGGCTGACCTGTATCGGGTTTATTTGGACAATTTTGATGCCCTGGAAAAGGTAGATGCTAGGTTGGCGGGGCAGATAAAGGGTACAGTGAAACCCCAGGTAGAAGCCCTTCGTGATATGTACGTTGAGCAGCTGAAAGAGTGACCCAGGGAGAGCTGCAAGGTGCCCTCCTGGATGGGGAAGCAGGCTATGCCATGCCCAAGCCACAGAAAGTCATCCAATATTGCAAACTAGGCAGCTCCTGGTGAGGGGGCAATCCACTCTACGAGAACTGCAGGTAGTCTGTGGGGGTTTCCTGTACCTGGCCATGTTTCGTCGCCAGTTGTTGGGGAGCCTGAACGCGGTCTGTGAGCACATGAAACGGTTCGAGGGCGAAGCGCCGGTTGTACGCCTTGGATTCCCCTATCAGGTCAAGGTTGAGATTGCCAGGTTCATCCTTTTGACTCCACTGGCCCAGATGGAATTTCGATCACCAGTAGATGGCGAGGTGACTTGCTCAGATGCATCGACCCTTGGAGGTGGTCTCTGCGCCTCTAAGGGTTTGACCAGTTATGGCATGAGCGCCGTCAGTTGTCCTGCCCGAGGTGATCTTCCTGAAGAGCACGAGCTTGTACAAGCGCTGTCCGTGGGGTTGTTTGACGGGATTGCCGCGCTCCGGGTGGCGTGTGACGTCCTGGGGCTGCCAGTGGCTGGCCACGTGAGCATTGAGAAGGACAGCAAGTGTAGACGAGTGGTGGAGAGCTTTTTCCACACTGAGTTCTTCGAGGACGTTTGTGACTTTGGTGAGGAGCAAGTCAAAGCCCTGGCCCTAAAATACAGCAATGTAGGGCTGATCATTGTGGGAGCAGGGCCTCCCTGTCAGGGAGTGAGCGGGCTAAACGCAGACCGCCTGGGCGCTCTCCGGGATGAGCGCAGTTGCCTGTTCCAAGAAGTTCCCCGGATTACTTCATTGTTTAGGCGGGAGTTTAGGCGGGAGTTTTATTGGGCCCAAGTGCATGAGATGGTCGAGAATGTGGCGTCCATGTCAGGAGCAGACAGGGCAATCATGAGTGAGGCTTTTCAGAGAACCCCTCACCGAGTAGACGCCAAAGGTATTGTACTGGACTACATGGGAGTGTTCCTGCGGCCCAGGCGTCTCCTGGCTAGAGGGAGACGGAAAAGGTTGGGAAGCTTATGGCAAACTTCGTTTACCTACCTTTACCACCTCAAGGCCACGGAATACTCCTGGGCGAAGGCCTGCGGGAGTAGAACAGTGCTCTAGTCAAGAGCTGCAGAGGTGGTATGATGACTTTTACAGGTTCCCGCCCTAGAAATACAGAGACAGCCATGGCCTTTGGAGTAAGAAGAGTGAGTGGCGGAGGCCATCGGCTCAAGAGAGGGAGGCCTGTATGGGGTTCCCCATCAATTATACGAAGCATTGCGCGGTGAAAGCAGAACAGCAAGGGCCAGAGTATGAGGACGCCCGCATGTCGATGATAGGCAACAGTTGGCACGTCGGCGTGGTAGCTTGGTTGATTGGGCAGCTCACTCAACAACTGGGGGTTGGGCCCAAGATGACACTGCAGGACATCGTCGATGCTACCACTCCTGGCAAAGCAAGTGCCTGGGGCTCGCCTCCAGCAAAGGCGAAGATCTCCTGGTTCACGCGGTGAGTGACCCGGCCCCGCGGTATTTCAGACTCCGCGCAAGTATACCTGGGCGCCTCTGGCGTTGGCGTGAGATTTCAGGTTGGCGTTGGAAGCTGGCGGGAGAACGCATAAACCTCCTAGAGATGCGGGCAATCTATACTAGTATTAAATGGAAGGTGAGCAGGTGCAAGAAGTTAGGGGTGCGTTTCCTTCACCTCACGGACAGTTTGGTGTGCCTACACGCTCTGACTCGGGGCCGAAGCTCGAGTCGCAAGTTGAGACCGATTCTGATGAGGCTCAATGCTTTGCTGTTGGCGGCTGACCTTCATCCCCTTTGGGGATATATCCATACCTCGCAAAACTCGGCCGACCGGCCCAGCCGGAGGCCCGTACGCCGTCGATGGGGAAAGTAGGCAAGAAGGTTTTGGAAGGTCAGACAAAACAGCAAAGGCAGGCACAGAGGAAGGAGTTAGGCACACTTCGAAGTCTCACCGTTTCAACCAAAACTAGCAATAGATATGCCGCTGCTCGTGCCAAGTTTTATGATTTTCTCCGTGAGAACTCACTCGAAATCCCTCGCTGGCGGGAGCAGTTTGACAGCCTCCTGGCGGGAATACATAGAGCACCTGTGGTCCGAGGGGGAAGGCCGCGGCGTGGCAGCCGATACGGTAGCCGGCCTGCAAGACGCGGATCCGAAGCTTAAGGGTCAGCCGCAACTGACCTGGAGACTTTTAAAGACATGGAATGCCAATGAAGTCCCGAATAGGGCGCCACCACTGACAGAGGCCGCGCTTGAGGCGATGGTCGGCTGGAGCTTTTTTCATGGCCACTTCGAGTTCGGCGTGTCGCTCCTGGTGGGTTTTTACGGGATGCTGCGCACAGGCGAACTGACGACTTTACGGGATGCTGCGCACAGGCGAACTGACGACCTTACGATGTTCTCACGTTTTCATGAAGACAGCTTCTGCCCCCGCTGTCCTTAGCCTTGGACTGACTAAGAGTGGGAAACGTATAGGTGCGTCAGAGTCGCTCACTTTGACGGTTGCGGTAGCCCTTCAGTGGTTATGGGCCTGGAAGCAGAGTGTCAAACCACAAGCCCTGTTCGTTTGCCTGGCGTAGGCTTTTTTCGGAATGCCTGCAAGCGTTGCAGCTCACCCTCTTTGAGTTTCGACCCTACTCGTTGCGTAGGGGGGGTGCCACCTGGTGGTTCACCAAGCACGGTTCGTTCGATAAGTTAATGGTAGCTGGAAGGTGGCAAGCTGCCAAAACTGCCCGAATATAATTGAACGAAAGCATGGCAGTGCTGGCCGACATGAGACTTCCCCAAAAATCCTTGTTGCCCTTTGCGCGAGTTTTCCATAACCAAGCTTCACCTCCACACTTGAGCTCGCGGGCGCGCCGCAGAAAAAGGGGAACGTGGAAGGGGGGTCTTTCTTTGCAACTTTTTTCGAAAAAAGGCACCAGCTTGAAGTTTTCGCCTAGCCGAAAGCTTCAAGGGGGGGCAAGGGGGGTTTTCCCTTCTCTCTGGCTAGGCGAGAGTTGGGAAAGCTGAGCTCCTTCGACCTTGGACAGGTCAAACCTAAAGGGTAAGGTCTGGAGAAAGACCAATCTGGTAGGATTCTGTATGTCTTATTGTGATTAACTGCGGAGCGTTGTGAAAAGATTCGACCGTGAGTTTTTATAAATTTCTAGATGACTTATGGAGTTGGAGCTGGCTTGAGAATCTTGTGCTTGCTTGTATTTTTCGATTATGTCTAATTCTTGACCTGAGGTACACCTGTGCAGGTGGCACTGGCACTTATGCAAGTCATGCCAACCTGGATGCTGCTGGTGTGTACCCCTTGCCGGCAGCATGGCCGAAGTGTTCCGAGAAGGTCCTGGGATATTTTAATGCTATTTTAGGCAGCCTTGGAATTATTTGTGAAGTTTCCAGTTTGCGCCAACTACTTGTACTTTCTCAGAACCTAGTCTTGGTGTAGGGCCAAGTACAACCACGTAAGAAATAGGCCCACTTGACTTGCGTGCAAGCTTACTTTAATGATTGGTGCTTTGATTGTATAGAATGGTCATGACTGGTCATTGTTGTAAGCAAGCGTCGTTGGATTTCTGTGAAGAGACTCCTTGAAGAGAACAATCTTGCAATCCGTGTGCCGTGAACAGTTGCCGTTTTAGGACAGCATCAGCTTTGCGGAGGGGGCGGGTGTGGGTATCCCCTGTGCGACGGCTTACTACGCGCTAAAGCATCGTGGGCAGGCGTGAACATGTTGTTATCGTTGTTATGCATAGCATAACTGCATTTCTCAGAACAGCACGCCTGTGTTGATGAACTTGATGAAATGCCATGAGATGCTGTCGTGGAAAGGTTCCCAACATCCTCTCGTTTAAACACCTCCATCGTCAGGCTGTGCCAGGCTCCAGGGTCTTCATCCATGGTGCCAGCGGGGCAGTGGGACTGGCAGCTGTTCAGCTTGCGATGCCTAGGCTGCATGGGCATGTCCTAAGGCTCCACCACCTCGGTGTACAGAAGTCACCCAAGGTCAAGGTCTTTGCTGTAGTTAGCCACCGAGCCGAGACCATTCAGCAGCATGTTTGAGATTGCTGCATATTGGCATTGTGGTGGCGAATGTATCTAGTTCTTCTCGTAGTTCTGCAGAATCTGCTGGAGTTGCCAGACTGCTTGAATGGACAGACTTGCTGTGTTCTCAATGGGACGAGGCTCATACTTTGTACGATTGGGAGAAGGTCAACCAAAGTGCAAAACTATTAACCCATGGCCCATAGCTCTCATACATCCACTCCTTGTGATACTTCCAAGCCTGTCAGCTTCCGCTTTAAGATGTGGAACGGGTTTCACATTTTTTCAGGTTCATTCTCTCAGCCTCCGTTGACCCAGGAAGGACCTTGGCTGCTTCGTGGTGGGCAGCGCCGGCACTGTGCCTGGGCTAGCGGCCGCGCGGGCCGCCGGCGCCGACTTAGCCGTGGAGCACCGCACCTCGGGCATCGCTACTAGGAGGACGCTACTAGGAACAAAGGGCATTGCTATTAGTAACAAGAAGCTACTAGTAGCCAACGAAAAAGACTCAAGATTGGTAAGAGATGGGAGGAGAATCCCGCTCCTTTGGCAATTATTTTCATCACTCTTGGGGAGAGTCTCATGTATTCTGACAATGTAAACATATATATACACATGTACTGAAGTTCTTGTGCAGATCCAGTGTGTATGGGCCCTGGTGTTGATGGAGCCCCTTTTTTTCCATTTGTGCAAGCGATTGAGGAGGAACAAGTTTGCAATTATTTTCATGAGTACCTCTTTTCCTATTGAGTACTATGAGTACCTCTTTTCAACCAGGCCAGGAGGGCTACCTGGAGAAAAGTCTGGAGGCCGTGCCAAGCGGCTTTGATGTGATCCTAGCCGCTGGGCTGACTTAGCCAAGAGTCGAAGCATTTCCAACCCATCAAACGGGACCCAGCCTTATACATAAACATCATAAACAAATATACTATATTATATATGTTATATATGATTATATGATTATATATATATACATATGAATATATACTCTTTATAGATGTTTGATTCTATATTTATTTAAGGGCTGCCGCCCCTGCCGCCGACCCCGGGACTCATCAAGGAGCAGGAGTACTGCAGCTTGCACTCGGCAAAAAGCTATGAAACAAACCGATCAAATTGGACGGGTTGTTCAACAGTTGAA